TTTGGGGTTTGGGGTTTTAGGGCTTGGGGGTTTGTGTGTGTGTGTGTGTGTGTTTGGGTTTAGGGCTTGTCTCCGTTTTTTGGGAAGGGGCGGCCCGGTCGGGGGCGGTCCTTTCTCCGCGGCGCTTGATAGGCAGGTTACGGGGCGTTTCAGGGTTCCTGTGGGTGTTTACAAGTCTTAGGATCTTATAGAATGGCTTCAGGGTTGAAGGCATGAAGGGTCTGGCAGTTTTGGAGCTCAGGGGTTAAGACGTTGTTCAAGCGTGCAGGGCTTTTCGATGTAGGGGCTAGGAGCAAGGAGCTTTCAGGCGGTCATGTTCTTGCTGGGAGTGGCTGACGAGAGGACGGGGTTTAATACCGCGTGGTATGTAGGGTTCGGGGCCGGGTGCATAGAAGCGCCTCTGGTTACCAGAATCAAAGAACTCTCAAGCTTTCTGTTGCGTTGCCCCTGCAAAAAACCAGCTTCTCCTAGACCAAATTCCTGGAGTCTTCTCTCCGGTCCTATATACATGCAGGTGAACCAAACCCACGGTAGCGCGACAACTCCGCTCCGATCTGAGCCAATGCTCGCATCAGGGTCTCGCAGACCAGCAGAAGCTGACGCAAGAAGTGTGCGAGGCTGGAAAGGGCTCTCTGGGTCATTGCCAAGATTATGGACCAGGCTTCACATAAGACATATAGTATTCCAGCATCCAGAGATCAAGGAGTCAAAATCTTCGACGAACTACTGTATGCAGTTATGTGCCATGGCTTCCAACCGAGACTTTATCCTACGTGTCAGGCTGCTGACAGAAGAGACCAGCAGGCAAACGAGCAGAATGCGGCACAGGCAGCTGAGCGGTGAAACAGGGAGGGACAGGCGAGTGTTAGAAGTTGTCCCACCAGCCACCATATGACGCGGATGCAGTGGAGCTGTGAGTCTGCCTTAGATTAGGTGTCGGAAAGCATCCTAGCAGCGATTCCTGGGGGGTGGTGCTTACAAGGAAACTTCTCACCATTAGTCCTAGCCCTGGAGTTGGGAAGATTTGGGACGATTTCACCAGGCATTCCCCGCCTGTCATATCTGTGAAACATTAATGGAATTTGCACGTAGCGGCCGACGGATCGGGGTTAAGTTTAGCTTTGAGTAGTTTCTGGGTAGTGTGAACGTTAAAGCCTTGCAATGCAGAAGCTGTGACGGGCTGTAGTAGCGTTCCAGAGAACTGTTTCCGAAAGGTAACAGAAGTTACAACTGTTTCCAAGGTGAGTATATAGGTGAGTACTGGGATCTTACATGCAATCGCCCGCCAGGTCCGGGATCTGCAAGAAACGATCCGGAAGCTGAAGATGGAGAATCAGCAGCTGCTGCAGGCAGGCCATACAGTATACGATGTTACCGCATATTTAGTGCACTGTGTATGATGTTATGATCGAACTTGATAACAACTCCGAGACTCCTGCTCCAGGCTGCATAACTCCCAGACTCTTGCCCTAGGGTTCCCAGCCTACCGCTTGCCATGATTGGTACTTGAGGAGCAGCAGCTTCAGGCCAAGCGCCAGGAGGACCGGCGATCCCTAAAACCTGCATACTGCCATGGCTTGCTTCCGCTGTAGGGCCAAGAGGCCTCTATGCTACACTGTGGGGCTGAGAGTGAGCAAGACCTTGCCGCAAAGTGGGAGTTTCCGAATATAAGGGGTACCTTATTTTGGGGTCCTTATAATAAGGATCCTACTATTTAGGGTACTATCTTAGGGTCCCCTATTTTCGGAAACCCCCAAGTGGGTTGGAGGAAATGGCGCACAGTGTCGCCGTGGCGATGGCAGCAGCAGAGAAGGAGCCCAGGGTGAATCGGGTGGTTAGAAGCAGCAAGGCATCCGATGATCACCAAATGCTCCGAAGCTTCCCAGCGATCAAGAAATGGCACTTTGGCATAAACTCCCAACAAGTCACCATACAAATGAACTTGCAAAAGCTGTTCTGACCTGGCATGTCCTTGGCGAGCAGCCAACAACAGAAATATGCCTGACCCTCATGACCACAATGACTGTCCGTAATCGTCACCATCATATCACGAACGTGATGCCGTCATCACCACCAAAACCGTTATCAAAATGATCCCCTTTCTCGTCGTGAAAACCCACACGCCGTCTGTAGGATCATTCAGATCATCAGTGACGGTGCCACTAGCGAGTTTTTGGTTAGCATAGTGTCTTGCAGTGTTGTCGTTTCTTGTTTGATGTTCCATGGTAGCGGTAGCTGTCCTAAAACGTGCACAGGGCTCGAGTGCGGATCCGTTGCACATCGGGGAGCTCCCTAAACCCTATAGACCCTGTAAACCGAAAAACCCTAAACCCTAGACACCCTAAACCCTAAACCCTTCTGATTTCTGGAGGCCATGGCCATGCACGCCCAGCACACCTCACAGCTGGAGACGCTGCGAACCGCCAAGCTAGCTGAGGCCATCAACTCCAAGGCGGGCAAAGGAGGGGGGCCGTAATAATCAGCATAAGGTTTTGGGGTATGTTATACTATAATCATAATAAGGAACCCCCCAGAATAGTATAGGGTGGGAAGGCGGGTATACCTTTGCTCTCCCTCTCTCTCTCTCTCTTTGTTCGCTCTGCGGCTCTTTCTGTCTGTATACGGGGCATGCAGCCATCCCAAGCCTCGACATGCTGGTCCTCGTGCACGGATGTCCGTGGTTTCCTATCGGCCTGTTCGAGCCTGACTCCACGTCCGAAGCTGCTTCTGTAAAGCCAGCCCCGTTCAGGTGGAGTTGCACATAGCCGTTCCCAAAGTCACGCTGAGCCAGCCTGGCATGGCTTTGCAGTGGGATCTCGCTTTCGGTTTGCAGTTTACCAGCTTGCGGTGCGTAGAATGCCGCACGCACATCGTCTACTGGCCTGTTGGCAAACCGACGGTAGGTTGGAGTAGCAGTGAAAGATGCTCTCAAGATCAGGGCATTCACTTTGCCTGCAGCCCCAGCCTGCATCAGTCAGCAGACAGTGGTCCATGTGATGGTCCAGATTGACATAATGTGAGCCATAGGTAGTATCATTGCTGGTCCATTGCTGGTGTCCACACACGCTGATTTGGCAGCTTACAATAACGCCCCGCCGCTGCTCGTGTCCGTGGCCGCCGGCCTGGGTGAGGGGCGAAGAGCTCAGCATGTTCGGAGATCCCGCTTTGGACTTAGGCTGCGGGTTCTTGAGGTTCAGTTCCGGGATGCCTGTTTTAGGCTTCAGGGCATAGCTGAGGACCGAGCTTATATTATGCACACAGGGTCCTCGTGGTTGATGATTTGGCGGATTCAATCCAGGATTCGACTCCCGTGTGCAAGAGCATCGTGTGAAAAGCGAGCGGCATGCGTGTAATGCGAAGGCTCCAGGGTTGTGGCCGGGTCAGCTGTCCAGGGTAGAGGATTTCAAGCTAGTTTGTACTAGCGGGTAGAGCCCCAACCTCGCCGTCTTTGCACCCCGTACCTCCCAAGATGGATGGCTGAAAGAGTCATGCAGTCATGCCCCGCAAAGATGTGACTTCAACACTGCCTCAGGAAGTTGGAGACCTTTCTTAACAAGGACTGCTGTGAGGGGCCATCAGGTGTTGCCTGTCTTCATGTCAATATGTGTGGGACCTGGGGTGCAGCCAGGTTTCAGGTTTCGGCTGCGAGGTGGCTCTTGAAACGTGGGTGCTGTGCTGGTCATGACCGGGTTGCGGAATTCTTCGATCTTTGCCACCGTAGCTCATCTGGGCCATGATCCTGAATCAGCACCATGTTTATTCTCCTTCTGGTGAGCCGCCATCTTGCAGTACCCAAACACAACTCACAGAGGAAACTTGGGAGTAGTACTCTTCTCAGGAGGTGTTCCCGCACTTCGAGCCCCTATGGGTTCGCCTCGATGGGCTTGACAAGGACCTCCCCATTTGGTGGGGGGGGAGGATGACTGGTGGGTTTCTGCTCTGGCGGAACGTGGGTTGAGGATCGGAGTGTTTGGCTTCAGTAGTGTTTCATGGATGCAGCTGGGACTGTAAAGTGTGCTGACTCGAGTTGCCCCCTGCTATCCCCTGCTTGTCAAGCAGAGTCATCTTGCTTCTGAGCCTTCTGGGGTCTAGGATGGGCAACCTGTGGGATTCAGAGTTGAGTTTACGTCGTCTGAGGCCTCAGAGCCTTAGCCCAGCTCTGAAAGAACGGCTACAGATCCATCGTTTTGGAGAAGCTTGCCCATGGCAGGCTGTACCCTCTGCCGTGCGCACACAAAAACCCCCTGCACCACCCAACTTCCGAAAGCAGCAAGGTGCTCGAGGAATGATCTGAAGCCTACGAAAGAGACCCGGTTCGTAAGCGACATCCAACTCAAGATCCCGTTCAGGCCCCCGATGGTTCGAGCAAGAAGGCGTACTCCAGCCGCATGCTGGACAGGCCGGCGGCTTATCTTGAGTTGCAGCCCGCTTTTGAGGAGCCCTTCAGACTTCCGGCGGAAAGGTGGGTTTAGGAGTTACCGTCCCTTCCTGTAGCCTCCACGTTGCATCCCTTTCTGTACTACCAGTAGTATTGCTATGCTTGTTGTTGTTTTCAGTTTCCCTTTTTTTGATATTGCTGCTACCATTATGATTATTCATAGTGTTGTGATGATTTTTGCTATGATTGACTATGTTTAACATTGGTCTTATTGTTGTTACGTTTATAGTTATTAGTTATAGGGCGGCTAAGATTTGTTGCGGGTTCCCAGCCTTGGCATAGGCTCAGACAGTGTCTCGACACCCTACTCGAATCTGGCCGCCTCATCGAACCACGTATAGGTGCACACACACACACACATATATATATATATATAGATAGATATATAGATATATATATATACACTCACCAACACTCGCTCACGTACGTTCGCATACATGCATACATGCTTACATACATGCGGCGTACATGCATGCGTGCATACATGCGTACCTTCCTTCGTTCACTCATTCATTCATTTCTACATGTATGCATGCATGCGGTTGTACATACATTCGTTCATTCAGTCCTACCTAAATCCATGTGTATATATATATATACATAATACACATTACCTGCATAATCTATATATATATATAGTTATTTATATGTGCTTGTGTACTATGTATTTAGGTATATCATACCTTTCCGCCTCTTATTGTACACCTCTACATGCACATTGATATAAACTTGCATGTAAATTTATAATTACGAGTGCATTGAACTATATTTCCATGCATGGTACATGCATGTGTGACTATGTATATATGCATGTATACAGGCATGCTACTGCACATCATCAGTGTTGACCCAGGCTGACGCAAGCCGTAAAGACCTTCCTGGTGCGCTCGCAGACCGAGGGTGACGGGTACCTTGGCCTCACAAACACCAGCCATGGAAGATGCAGTGGTGTTGGGCTTGCGGATTATAGTCACAGTCTTCATGTTGGAGGTATGTTCAGGCTTTGCGGCCGGGCGACAGGGGTCTATCGGGCTGAAGTCAAGACCACTCCCCAGGCCATAGGCAGTCGTTCCGATCGAGTTGCTTCAGCCCGAAATCTGCAAGATGGACCCTGCCTTCGTGATTCGCTCAGAGATCCGCAGCATGTGCCATGCCCCCTGGTGAAGGTAGGTCCAGGATACCTCATTTGCGAATGGCACCGTTGATTGCACACAGTGATCAGCATAGCCTTCGCACGCCATCACCCACAACCCCAGCAGCAGTATCTTTGTCATAGCACCACCATGTTCTGCACGAGCTACACCAGCACCAGCATCATGTTCGTCATTATTTGTAGATTGTACGGTTGTCAACGATGGCATCACCAGCGTCAGCATCATCATTCTCGCAAGTGTCACATAACGCAACATGCGTCCTAGTCTTCAAAAAAACCCTGAGGTGTTCAACAAAAAAGCAACTCCGAAGCCTGAACAGGTGCCAGATCGGGTCCAAGCCAAACAAGCTTGGGAGGGGGTGACTCGCAACTCTTCCGTTGGGAGAAACTGATAAGCCCTCCAAGGAAGGATGCCGATGAGGCCGGCATTGTGAGGGCTCTTGCTTCAGGATGTCGGGAATCCGAATCTTCCATGCTGCTGGGAGGTTCTTTGTTTTGGGAGACGGGTTTTTCCAGGCTCTCCGTGCAGGTTCGTGGGTGGTCAGACCCCTGCTTGGTAGCAGATGATCCGAGTGTCATTTTAGGATTTGGGGGTCTAGGACCCATAGGGTTGAGGGCATCAACGAGCGGCATTCAGGGACACCCAGCCGGCGGCACCACAATAGCCATCGAAAGCCTAGGGAGAAGAAGACGAGATGGGGCCTTTACCGGTAGCTTCTTCAACTCCATGTCAGTTGTTTTTTCCTGTTGCAGCTCTGGCTCGAAGCTACCTTGCGACAGAAGAGAACATGTCCCTCATGTTGCCGGCTTGTGGTTCGGAGGGCTAGTGGTTTCTTAGGGTCTTGATCTCTGTGACACGACGTGCTGAGGTTTCATTTGATACATGCATTTACGATGCATACATGAACCACACACCTCATCAGAAAAACGCAGCAGGCATGATATGCACAGTCTTGACCCATAGTTGTAGTGCAACAAGGAGACTGCAGTTGCACGGCGAGCAGGATCATAGCAACAAAGCGGTCGTCAATCGCACAAAGTCGACGACCTGCCTTGGAAGCCTCTCTGCCCCACGACTTCCCGACCTGCTTTGTGCAGCAGCCAAGTCGCGGACCCAATGGCGTCACGTGGAAACGACGATCTGGACCTGGATGGCAACTGGAGTGGAGGCAAGCGGAGGCTGGGCCCACGTTTGTGTGCTGAGGAGCTCTGCATCATGGAATTCCCTGTGATCCAGACCAGGGCCTGAGGAATGCGAATGCCAACTCATTGGGAGATCCTTACTTTGCAGTGGGTTCGGGGTTCTCTGCTCGCTATCCCTCAGGAGCTTGCGATTGCTCATGCATCAACACGCATATTATATATATATATATATGGTCAGCCCCCCCCCCATGATCTACCTCCGTCTTTTTTGGGTATGTAAAACACATAGAAACCACCGTAAATACCGATGACTTTGCTGTTTTCAGAAACTCACAAATCCACCCAAAACTGTGTCACAAAATCGGTGGTTCGGA